TGGCTGGGTGCTTGTGGGGCTCAGTGTGTTAAACATCGACCTTTGGCCCAGGACCCTGGGATCAAGTCCCACATCCAGCTCCCTGATCAGTGGGGAGTCTGCTTCTCCCTCTGCCTGCCACTCCCCCTGCTTGTGCTTTTGCTCTCTCTCCCTCTCAAAAATAAATAAATGAAAATTCTTTTTTTTTTAAAGATTCTTTATTTATTTATTTGACAGAGAGAGAGATCACAAGTAGGCAGAGAGGCAGACAGAGAGAGGGAGAAGCAGGCTTCCTGCTGAGCAGAGAGCCCGATGCAGGGCTCGATCCCAGGACCCTGTGATCACGACCTGAGCTGAAGGCAGAGGCTTTAACCCACTGAGCCACCCAGGCGCCCCATAAATGAAAATTCTTAACCAACTTAGCTACCCAGGCACCCCTTAATAAATGAAAATTCTTAAAAAAAAAAAAAGTTGCTGTGGCCAATGTCAGAGAAATTACTGGGTTCTCTTCAAGGATTTCCATGGTTTCAGGTCTCACATTTAGGTCTTTCATCCATTTTGAGCTTATTTTTGTGTGTGGTGGAAGTGGTCCAGTTTCATTCTTCTGCATTTGGCTGCCCAGTTTCCCCAGCACTATCTGCTGAACAGACTCTTCTTCCCATCGTATGTACGTTCCTCCTTTATCGAAGATTAATTGACCATATAATTGTGGGTTCATTTTCTGTTCTATTCCATTGATCTGTGTGTCTGTTTTTATGTCAGTACTATACTATTTTAATTGCTATAGCTTTGAAATATAACTTGAAGTCTGGAATTATGATACCTCCAATTTTGTTCTCCTTTTTCAAGAGTGTTTTGGTTATTCAGTGTCTTTGTGGTTCCATACAAATTTTAGGATTGTTTGCTCTAGCTCTGTGAAACATGCTGTTGGTATTTTGAGAGGGTTTGCATTAAATCTGTAGACTTCTTTGGTGTTATAGACATTTTAATATTTGTTCTTCCAAACCTGAGCGTGGAATGTCTTTCTAATTCTTTGCATCAACTTGAATTTCTTTCATCAGTGTTTTATAGTTTTCAGAGTACAGGTCTTTCACCTCTTTGGTTAAGTTTATTCCTAGATATTTTATTGTTTCTGGTGCAATTGTAGATGTGATTATTTTCTTAATTTCACTTTCTGCTATTTCATTATTAGCATATAGGAATGCAACAGATTTCTGTACATCAATTTTATATCCTACAACTTTACTGAATTCATTTATCAGCCCTAGTAGTTTCTTGGTGGAGTCTTTAGGATTTTCTGTACATAGTATCATGTCATCTGCAAATAATGAGAGTTTTACTTCTTCCTCACCAATCTGGATGCCTTTTATTTGTCTGCGTTGTCTAATTGCTGTGGCTATGGCTTCCAGTGTTGAATAAAAGTGGTGATAGTGGACATCCTTTCCTTGTTACTGAACTTAGTGGAAAAGCTCTCAGTTTTTCTCCATCAAGTATGATGTTGGCTGTGGATTTTTCATATAACACCTTTATTATGTTGAGATATGTTCCTTCTAGACCTACTCTGCAGAGACCTTTTATCACAAGTGGATATTGTACTTTGTTGTAAACATTTTCCACATCTGTTGAAATAATGTGGTTTTTATCCTTTCTCTTATTGATGTGATGTGGGGTCGTTCTCTTAATTTCACTTTCTGCTGTTTCATTATTAGTGTACAGGAAAGCAAAAGGTTTCTGTACGTTGATTTGGTACCCTTAAGTTGATTTTTTAAAAAATATTTTATTTATTTGACAGAGAGAAATCACAACTAGGCAGAGAAGCAGGCAGAGAGAGAGGGGAGGAAGCAAGCTCCCTGCAGAGCAGAGAACCTGATTTGGGGCTCGATGTCAGGACCCTGAGATCATGACCTGAGCTGAAGGCAGAGGCTTTAACCCACTGAGCCGCCCAGGCGCCCCACCTTAAGTTGATTTTTTAATCGAAAAAAACACAATTCTCAGCTGGAAAAATAAACATGTGAGCTTATAAAAGGATAAAAGGTTAGGATATTTAAGAAGACGAGCTTCATATGACTTTAGAACAAATTACAAGGCAACAATAATTAAAATGCTATGGTACCAGCTAAAGATTACACATATAACTTATTGAAAGAGAATCACTTGCCCAGACATAGAGCCTATCATATATCAAAATGCGAATATGTGATAAAGGAAAGAATGAAAAAGTGCTAAGAAATGTAATAATTATTTAATAAATGTACCTGACATAGAAATATTTTAAAAAATTGGAGGGGGAGGAAATCTATTGAGTAATATATCATACTATATACAAAAAAATACAGTGTAGAGCACCTGGGTGGCTCAGTCATTAAGCGTCTGCCTTCAGCTCAAATCATGATCCCAGGGTCCCGGGATCGAGGCCCACATCGGGCTCCCTGCTCTGCGGGAAGCCTGCTTCTCTCTCTTCCACTCCCCCTCCTTGTGTTCCCTCTCTCTGTGTCTCTCTCTGTCAAATAAATAAAATCTTAAAAAAAAAATACAGTGTAGGAGGATTAAAGAGTCAAACATCAAAAATCAATCATGGCTAGAAGATTCCTAAACTAAAATTCAAAACTTGCATCAAGAATACCTGTGATTAGGGGCGCCTGGGTGGCTCACTGGGTTAAAGCCTCTGCCTTCAGCTCAGGTCATGATCCCAGAGTCCTGGGATCGAGCCCCATATCGGGCTCTCTGCTCAGCAGGGAGCCTGCTTCCTCCTCTCTCTCTCTCTCTGTCTGCCTGCCTCTCTGCCTAATTGTGAATATCTCTGTCAAATAAATAAAAATAAAATCTTTAAAAAAAAGAGAGAATACCTGTGATTACACAAACATTTACATCTTCAGCATGTCAAAAAGTTGTTAGAGCAAGCAACAGCAACATATATTATGATCCAAGAGTAATAACCTCAAAGAAGTTGGTTAAAGAAAATCCACACAAGTATAGACAAAGGATTAGAAGAAATAACTCACAATAGAAGAACTTCAACTAGAAAAACAAATTCCTGGGAAAATTCAGGGTCAACAGTAATCAAAGAGATTCCAAATCAAGCAATAACAAAGATCAGTTAACTATGAAATTTATAGAAATGTTAATACCTAATATTGGTGAAAGGTCACTTATAAATTATTGGGGGCTATGTGATCTGACCTTTCTAGAAAGGATTTAACAAGTTACATGAAGAATCACAAAAATGTTTTTACCACCTGACCCAGAAATCCTATTTGGAGAATTCATATATGATGCAAAAGAAAATACAAAGTTACAAGCCATAAAGATGTTCATAAATCATTATTTATCCTGACAAAGTAAAAAACAAATACTCAACAGCTAAGGAACTGTTAAGTGTGATATAGTCATTGAACCACATCTGGCATTAAAAATGGTTGCTAGAAAAAATAAATAAATAAATAATTTTTTAAAATGGTTGCTAGAATGTCCACAATAGCCAAACTATAGAAAGAACCTAGATGTCTATCAACAGATGAATGGATAAAGAAGATGTGGTATATATATACAATGGAATACTATGCAACCCTCAAAAGAAATGAAATCTTGCCATTTGCAACAATGTGGATGGAATTAGAAGGTAGTATGATGAGCGAAATAAGTCAATCAGGGAAAGACAATTTTCATACGATCTCCCTGATAGGAATTTGAGAGGCAACGTGGGGGATTTGGGGGTAAGGAAGGGAAAAATGAAACAAGATGGGTCAGGAGGGCGACAAATCATAAAAGACTCTTAATCTTACAAAACAAACAGGGTTGCTGAGGGGTCGGGGGAGGAATGGGGTGGCTGGGTGATGGACATTGGGGAGGGTATGAGCTATGGTGAGTGCTGTGAAGTGTGTTACCCTAATGATTCACAGACCTGTACCCCTGGGGCAAATAATACATTATATGTTAATTTAAAAAAATGGTTGCTAGAAAAACTAGCAACATAGTTTTAGATAGTTCCCACTGGACTCGAATCAAAATTCTGGTGTCTTAAGCATCCCCCTTTCCAGAATTCTGCCTTAGCCTGGATTCTTTATAGCTAGAGGTACTACTACACATATGAAGAAATTGGAAGGGAATAAAGAAAAGTCATTGCTTTACTGGATTGCTGGGATTAAGGATGCCTTCTTTCTCTATATTCCAATGAACTGTGCTATATTGTTCTTACTAATTTTAAACATAGTGCTTATTTAAGAAATGACCTCTAGGGCGCCTGGGTGGCTCAGTGGGTTAAGCCGCTGCCTTTGGCTCAGTTCATGATCTCAGGGTCCTGGGATTGAGTCCCACATTGGGCTCTCTGCTCAGCAGGGAGCCTGCTTCTCTCTCTCTCTCTCTCTCTCTCTCTCTCTCTGCCTGCCTCTCCATCTACTTGTGATCTCTCTCTGTCAAGTGAATAAATAAAATCTTTAAAAAAAAAAAAAAAGAAATGACCTCTAAAAAAACAAACAAAAACAAGAGAAAAAGAAATGACTTCTTTCTAATTTAAACAATAGATAGTTCCTCATTTACATAATAGGACTAATAATAGTACCTAAAGATAAAGAAACAAAGGCCCAGGGAGGTCAAAGCAACTTGCCCAAGGTCATTCAGTTTGTGACAGGCCCTGCCAGGCCTCAAAGCCAGGTTGTCTGACAAAGTCCGTGTCTAAACCACAAGAATATACTGTCCCCTGTGAGTGTACCACATAACATAAGCAAAAAATGAACAACCAAGAGGCTAGATTTGTAAAATAAAAGACCATCACTAAGTCCCAATGGCTAAATGAGTGGAGAACATATGCGAATAACTCACTTGGGAGGAAATGTAGCTTGTTTGCTAACCCTGTCCTAGAAAGAAGCTTATCTGACCCTCTCTCATGCTAGCTACCAGGCCCTCCAGTCCTGGCCCTCATCCCAACCCCAGGGGCCCAAAGCACCTGTCTGTGCTGTGCTTTATCAGGGAAGTCATGGAGACTTTGCAGTGGGGACCCCTTCAACCCAAGCCCCCACACTTACATGATCAGCCATGTTGGTGTGGCCTCCTGCGTGGATGAGGGTCCGGGTCATGTCCTCAGAGCCACCGAGGACTGCGTAGTGGAGACAGCTCTGTTTTTTCTAGAGGGAAACAGGCATCAGTGCCCTGTCCTGAAAGTCCCTCACAGTGGGCCTTTGGTATCCATTATTCCATTTGTCACACACACACACCACCACCACACACCACCCCCCCCTCCGCCCCCGGATGATTACCCTCTTGAACACTGAGGCTGGAGAAATCAATGCCTTGCCCAGGCCTGGTGACTAGTAAAAGAAGCTCACCGTGGTTCTGGCTTTTCCCCGCTTCCTATCACAAACTGCAGAACATACATCAAAGCCTGCACAATTCCTAGGCTGGTAAAGACATGCGGGGTATACTCTGAGGTTTTCAAAGAGGGGAGCAAGTAAGATTTGCCAGCCCAGAGCAAACCGCACCTGGCACACACAGCCCTGCCAGAGCTGTTCTCAGCCGTCCGGGCGGGAGCCGGGCAGCCCCCGGAGCAAGGCTTCATCCCGATGGGCCCTCTGAGTGCCCCCCTTCAATCCAAGCCCACCCCCAGCCAAACAGCAACCTCACATGAGCTACTCCCCTCCGCTCCACCAGGCGGACCCCTCTAGGCGACCAGCTGTCCCTGACTGCCCAGACTGCTCTCCAGGATTTTCAGTTTGAAAACCAGGGCAGTGTGGGGCAAACTGGGATGAGCTGCTCACTCTCCCAAAGTCCTGTCTGAACTGAGTGCACAGGGTGAGTGGGAACCAGTCCGCCTCCCAGCAGGAAATGTAATCAACTTTGAGTCAGCCCCCACTTCAGAGGCCCTGCGAGGGGTGGGGTGTCCAGATAGAATGTGTCCTCTGCCGGAAACCGCAAACCAAGGCGAGAGCACAGGGCCCAGGGCAGTGGGCAGCTCCAGCCCTGCCCATGGCCACCAGATGGACATGACCTCCCCGGTCCCTAAACTCCTATGCTGCTACTGCTGGGGAGATGGCCTTGACACCTCACTTCTACGTCCCCTCCCAGTCCCGAGCACTGCTCTGGGCATAGAGAAAGGGCTGCTGCTCAAAGAGCAGCACCACGCAGATGCAAGGACGCAGGTGGTTTCCCTGGGGCAGCTACTTTCCCACTCAGGTGTCATCCCAACACCCTGGGGCAGCTAGGGAAATTCTGCAAATTAAGTGTTTTGTGACTTATGAAGTAGTATTCACGTTTGGGGGAGGTTAACACTGATGTTATTATTGAATTTACATTCGCCATTTTGCTACTTATTTTCTACATGTTTCCTGTCCTTTTTGTTCTTCTGTTTCTCCTTGATTGCCTTCTTTTGTGTTAAACATTATTCGCATACTATCTTAATTCCCGGGCTTTTAAACTATTTTTGCTATTATATTTTATTTATTATTATCGCTTTATTATTCAAATTTAGAACATATAGAGAATTCCAAACCCTGAAGCCATTCAATCAGTGAAGAGAGATTATTTGTCATTGATCTAAAAGTAAAAAGCAAAACAAAACAAAAACGGCAACTCCCTACCTAAGGCCATGATACCCCGTTTCCAGGACACAGAGAGAATTTGCAGTGGCTGCTTAAGGAGTCAGTAGTGAGAGAGAGAGGAGGCCTGTCCTGGGCTCCAGCTCTGGGCGCTGGGGTGGCTCGTGCACAGGCAAGGCAAACCTTCCAGCCATGAGCTCTGCAGTCTAGGGAACAGGCTTTTCAGCCTCAGCTTGGTTTTTTGCTGGCTTGTGACCCATGGAAGTCACTGGATCTATCTAAGCTTCTGTTTCTTCATCAGTATAACAGGGGCAACTTTTCTGAAGTAACTGTTGTAAAGGGGGCCCACGAACTACCAAGTACCCAGCAATAAGAAGACACGAACAGGTGTCAAGCTCCTAGCACCCCCGATGCTGGGAGGTGTATTTACTCCTCCCAGCAATGGAAGAACGTGACTACATAGCGTCCCCATTTTATAGCTGGGAAATGAGGCTCATCGAATTGAAGTGACTTGCCCTCGGTCACAGGGCTCAGCAGCGGAGAAGCCAAGAGCAGACCCCGGGGCCTGCGGCCTGAGGGCCCCTATTTACACACGTTCAGGAATCATTGGCAAGGTTAGAGTTAGGGTTCAGAAGCCAAGGGCAGCCATCCGTCCCCAGGGGGAGGACTGACTACCTGGGTGAGGGCATTCACACAGCTCCCAGCCTCAAGGAGCAGCTGTACACAGTCGGGGTGGACGCCTTCAGCCGCCGCGTGCAGGGCGGTCAGACCTTCCTGAAACACACGGGGAGAGTGTGAGGATGGCAGGGAGGCTGAGGCCAGACTCTGAGATGAGAGCGACCCCTTGCGCTATGGCTCCAGAGCTCTAGGAGCTCTCCATGGCCACGCTACTGAGGACGACAATCTGGGTCATTATCCGTGGTTCCCTGAGCCCCGTACCCGATTTTCTCACGTTGAGGAGCATGTGGTACATTGCCTTCCGCCTCCACATCCCTGCTCAAGGTCTCACCCTCCAAGCTGCCCCGCCCCCTGCCCACGGTCTATGCCTTCTCACTCCAGGAAGCCTCTAGCAGGGGAAAATCAGGCTGCACCTTGGGCCATCCGTTCCTCGAAAGCAGGGAGCAAGCGAGCGTCTCTGCCTCCTCTGGGCGGTGTGACTCACCGCGTTCTGCTCCTCCAGGTCCAGCCTGATGTCCACAAGCCGCTGCAGCACAGCCAGGTGGCCCCGGCTGGCAGCCAGGTGAAGGGCCGTGTTCCCCTCCTGCAGGCAGAAGGGTTCCCAAGGGACTGGTAGAATCACAGACCCTTGAAGGCCCTGGGGACCTGCTGGAAATGCCCCTCATTGTATAGACATGGAAGCTGAGGTCCAGAGAGGGGAAGTGACACATCTAAGGTTACAGAGCAAGTTGATGAAAAACTTCAGCCCCGAATGCTGGGCCAATGTCTCCCTGCCCCTGAGAAGTATGCCTCAAACTGTAGCCAGGGGCGCTTCCAAGGTCCAAGTCCTGATCCTTCCTTACACTTGAAGGCAGACACAATACTTGGGGGTAAACAAATCCCTACTTTGCATGCCCCTGTCTAAAGCCAGTCCCTCCTTGAGCCATCCTAGATCCATCCCCTCCCCCTGCTCAAGGCCACAGCTCCAAGGACTGTCCTTGGCGCTCAGGTTGTGCCCAGGCAGCCAGCTGCATGGCCCAGTTCAAAATGGTAGCTTCTCATTGAAGAGTGTGGCCCTGCTGACCACACTATTTAAAACTGCAGCTCCAGGGGCACCTGGGGGGCTCAGGCAGTTAAGCATCTGCCTTTGACTCAGGTCACAATGTCGGAGTCCTGGGATGAAGCCCTGCATTGGGGCTCAGTGGGGAGTCTGCTGCTTCTCCCTCTGCCCATCCCCTTACCGCTTGTGCTGTCACTCACGTGTGTGCTCTCTCCCTCTCAAATAATAAAATCTTAAAACTGCAACTCTCACCCTCCCGTCCTCCTGATCCCCTGATCTTGCTGGACTTTTCCTTCCCTTTTCCCCCATAGCACTGATAAACTAACACACTATAATTTGCTTGTATACTATGCTTATTGTTTATTGTCTGACTCTTCCTGCTAGAACATAAACACTTCAAGGGCAGGGATTGTTATTTTTGTTCTCCAGCGTTTCCCCAAGTGCCTAGAATAGGGTCTGGGGCATGTGGCAGACATTCAGTAAAATATTTGTCCAATGAGTAAATACTGTGATGGAGAGACTGACATGTGACTCCTGGCACTTAAGAGCCCCAGGGCTGGTAGTTGTCTCACACTTGAGAAGTCTAAAGGTGACAGCAACACAGCCAAAGGAGGTGGCTCCCCTGGGTGTGGCAAAGGGCACGCTGCTCTTTGTATCAGAAGTGGCTCTTGCCAAGCGCAGATTGGGGTTGTCCTTAAAGGGATCTTTCTGCAGGGCAGCTGGGAGGCTCAGTCAGTTAAGGGTCCGACTCTTGATTTCAGCTCGGGTCATGATCTCAGGGTCCTGAGATCGAGACCCATATCAGGCTCTGTGCTTGGCGGGGAGTCTGCTTCTCCCTCTCCCTCTGTCCCACCTTCCCCTCTAAAAATAAATAAATCTTTCTTTTTTTTTTTTTTAATGGGATCTTTCTGCAGAGGACAAGTAGTGGTGAAGGGCTCCCAGCAAACAGGAAGAAAGCTGAAGGGACTAGCCAGAGAAGCAGATTTCCCAGTGAGCCGGAAGCCCAAGACAGGGCTCGATCCCAGCACCCCAGGATCATGACTGATCTGAAGGCAGATGCTTAACTGACTGAGCCACCCAGGCGCGCCAATATGGGCATGCAATTTTGAAAGCTTCTTTCTAGAATTTCCAATTACAAGATTCTGGGTAAGGATCAAAGCTGGGCTTTTCTTGTTTTCCAATTTGGGTGCTCCCACCCTCCTGGCACCCTGAGTACAATCCTGTTACTACCTCTGAGCTAGATGCATCCTGGCAGGGGCTGTCTTTCACTCCTTTCTGTGCTCCTGGTTCCTGGCCAATAACCCTCACAACATAGCCCAGAGCATGACCTGCTTAGCCCGTTTCCAGAATGAAGGAAATCAGCCTGATTTGATTCTCAGGACTAAGAGGACGAGTGTGGACAGCTGGATTCCATGCAAACCCCAAGGGCTCAGTGCCTCAGGAGGCAGCAGCCCTGGGCGGGGCATCAGGTTGCTGGTTCCAAACCCAGCCCAACCTTTGTGTTGCTTTGTGACCTTGGCTAAAGCATCCCCCTCTCTGGACCTCCCATCTATAAAACGAGAAGGTCGAACTGGTCCCCAGTGAAGGACACTTGCCGTTCTAAGCCCCTGTGTGCATTTGCCTATCATTAGTTTATAAACAGAACTCCTCTATCCCGGCCAAGCACATTAATCAGAAGATTAATAATGGAGTTTGTCCCTTTATTGGAGCATTGTTTAGAATTTGCTGCAACATACTTGCCTAATGATTCACAATGGCCCACTGATAAGAGTCATTTTCAGGGTAGTCCCCGCAGGCCCAGCCCTCAGCTCTCCTCAGACTGGTGAAATCCTGCTTGAAGCTCTCCACCCTCCGCCAACTGCTCCCTCCTCCAGGCTTTCATCCTATTTCTGTCATGACCACTTAGATGACTAAATGACACAGAAGGTAAATAACCAAGAGGTGCATGGCTACCAACATCCCCTAACTCTTCTCCTCACTCCCAGCAACAGACAGCCCCAAGGGCATCAAAATCCTGTCAAACCCACCCTGGCAGTACCACCGGCCAACAGACTTGCCATCCCAGCTCCCCACAGCTGGCCACAACTTTCTACCAATGTGGCCGCCCAGGATCCCTGAGTGAAAACCTGTGTCTCAGAGATCTTTGGGCTCCTCAAGCGCAGCACAGGACGGGCCCATAGCACTCGCTCAAAAAATGCCTGCCGGACGAACATCAGACCCTCTCTGGTCCTTAAGCCGTCTGCTCCTCCAGCATGCTGGCGACAGAAGTTGGTGCAGGTCAGCCACCAGCGCCCACCCTGGTCAGGAGCCCAGAGCTTGGACTGACCCTGGCACCCAGTTACAGTACCTTGTCTTTCACACTGTGGTCACAGCCAGAGCCCACAAGGAAGTCCAGAGCATCCAGCTGCCCGTGCTCGGCCGCCCGGTGGAACGCCGTCCTTCCCAGCTGACCAGGTAGGGGAAGAAAGTGACCCTTCTGTACCCTGTAGGAGGCACACTGCCTATCTAGCCAGCCACTCAGGGCTTGCAGGGGCCTCTCTTGCCTCAGGAACTCTCCCCTCCCCTCACCCTTCACACCTGACCTGGAAAGCCCAGACCCAACTTTCCAGCAAGACCTACTGGGTGGGGCCCCCCCTCACTGAAATCCTTCTGTGGCTCCTGCTGCCTGTTGAATACAGGACCAATTTCTAAGGCATGAGGTGGTGGAAATTTCCACAAGGGGCTCCCAACATGGCCCTGGCTCCCTCTCCCAAAATTCCAGTCCATCTGAACTCACATTCAAAGGGCCCTTTTCCAGTTCTAAAGCCCTAACAATGTTCTTCTATTTACAAAATCTCCCTGCTTTCCAATCTTACCAACAAAATCCAGTTCACTCACTAAATGCCCCCTCCTCTAGGAAGCAGGAAGCAGTGGCTCCCATCTCTCTAACCTGTCCTCTCTGAGGAACTGACCATTTTCCTCCTGTGTCCCACTCATTTGTGCCCTAACACCCCTTCTAGACCAGCAGTTCCCTGAAGTGGAGTCCAATCTGCACTACCCATAGCTCAAAAGGATGCACTCAAGGAATGGGCAAGAGTGGCCCCAGGAGCCCCAAACCCAATGGGAAGGACAAGCAGCCTCGAGGCCACTCTCACTTTGTCAGCATGGTCCAAGGGCACGTCCTCCAGGTCCTCCATTATGAACGCCAGCACCGGCACGTGGCCTTTTTGGGCTGCACAGTGTAGTAAGGTCAGGCCGTCCTGGAAACAAGGTGGTAGACCAGGGTGGTCCCTACAGTCTGTGAAGAGGGCCCTTCTCACACCCTGGCTCTCTTGCAGACGGTGAGGGTTTGCAACCCAGAGCACAGCTTTCCCATAGAAAAAACACAGTATGTAAATGGGGATGGACCCCTGGGCCACCACATGTGCCCACTCAGCCTCACCAGGGCTGGTGGGAGTCAGGATGCCAGAGTCCCAATCCCAGCTCCAGCACTGGTCAGCAGTGCAGTGCGGTCTTGAACAAGTCATCTGTACCTCCACGAGCCTCCATTTTCTCCTAGGTCAAATCAGGATAACCCCGGACTACCTCAGTGGGTTGCTGAGCGGGTTGGACAGCATCACCTACAGAAAGTTTTTTATACCCTGATAAATAACTCAGGGTGTAAGGTGAGGTCGAACAGCATTGACAGTCCCTAGAATACCCCCCCCAGAACATTCTTCCACGTTTACAACATCTGCTTGTCTTGATAGGGCCCCAAATGAGAAATAAGGTGACTAAAGTCCCCAGGATCTGTCTCTAGGAGGTCACCTCCTCACCTTTGGGGAGGGCTGAGAGCTGATGGGGTCTGCAGGGACTAGAAGGTGTTGAAAAAGGAGAAAGTAGACTCATGATGGAGTCACTTGTGCTAAGGCCCACCCACATCACCATTCCTAACCTAACTACAGCCTCAGCCTCTCCCAGATAAGTAATCTTAACCAGTCAGTCTGGAATTTCCTGGTCAACACTGGGGAGGAAATCCACCATTTTACCCCCTTACGTACTCTATTGTTAGAAATTCTATGGTTTTAGGGGCGCCTGGGTGGCTCAGCAGGTTAAGCCTCTGCCTTCGGCTCAGGTCATGATCCCAGGATCCAGGGATCGAGTATCAAGCTGATATCGGGGGGGTCTCTGCTCAGCAGGGAGCCTGCTCCACCTCCCCCTCCCCCGTCTGCCCCCACCCCACCCCCACCACTGGCCCCCAAAGGAAGGTGATCTTGCCTAAAACAATCCAGTCTTTGCTAGAATACCTTCCTCGCCCCACTGCCTTTTGCCTATAAAAGTCTTTCATTTTGCACAGCTCCCCAGAGCTCCCTTCTGTTTGCTAGATGGGAAGCTGCCCAATTCATGAATCATTGAATAAAGCCAATTAGATCTTTGAATTTACTCACTTGAATTTTGTTCTTTAACAGAGGAGAAGTGGCCAGAAAAGAGGTGTAGGCTAGAAGAAGGTCTCTTGGACCCAGAAGCAATATTTAAGTGAGGGGCATTTGCAAATCCTACGTTTATAGCCCAGAGCTTCTACCAAGGCCTTGCATTATAGCTGGAGTGTTTGGAGCCCTGTTTTTCAAATAGATTGCAACCATCGATGGGTCATAAAAATCAATATACTGAATGATGTTGTACATCTTGACAGTGCTTTGGATTACACTGGAGTAAAATCTGTCAAATCTCAGTGACTATGAACTTAAGATTTGTATATTTCATTTTAGGTAAAGAAATTGAATTCTAGTTAATGTTATGCATGCTGAAGTACTTAGAGGTAAGTATAGTGATGTCTGTAATTTATTTTGAAATGATTCCAAAATTTATACAGAACTCTAAAAGCTCATCAATGAGATATTAAACAACCCAATTAAAAAATCATTTGGACACAAAGAAGGTATATGGATGGCAAATAAGCACATAAAAAGATACCTAACATCATTAGTTATTATTGAAATGCAAATTAAAACCATAGAATTTTTTTTTAAGATTTTTATTTATATATTTGACAAAGAGACATCACAAGTAGGCGGAGAGGCAGGCGGGGGGGGGGGGGGGGGGAGCAGGCTCCCTGCTGAGCAGAGACCCCCCCCCCCATATCAGCTTGATACTGGATCCCTGGATCCTAGGATCATGACCTGAGCCCAAGGCAGAGGCTTAACCCGCTGAGCCACCCAGGCGCCCCTAAAACCATAGAATTTCTAACAATAGAGTAAGTAAGGGGGTAAAATGCTAACATTCCAGTGGAGAAACCTGGCTAAGACCACATAACCACATGATCAAGTGTGAAATTATGGTTTATAATAAGAAATACGTATTTTGTCCTGTTTCTGGCACAGAGCTCCTAAAACCCTTGGAATTTTCTAAGTGTACAGAGTGATTAAAGTGTCTATTGTTATGTTAATTTGCTGGCAAGGAAAGCCCAAGGTAACCTGAAGATGGGGGCTGGTTGCCTGGAAAACCAATTCAATTAGAGGGTTAGAACTTTCAGTCCCACTCCCTGACCTCCAGGGAGGGGAGAGAGGCTGGAGGTTGAGTCAATCACCAATGACCAAGGACTTAATCTATCAAGTCTATGAAATGAAGCCTCCGTAAAAATGCAAAAGGACAGGGTTGAGAGAACTTCCAGGTTGGTGAACAACAATGCATCCACGGGCTGGATCCCACACTTCAAGGACAGAATTTCCTTTGTTCGCGACCTCACCCATGTGTCTCTACATCTGGCTATTGATTTGTGTCCTTTAATATCCTTTGGAATAAATTTGTGATCCAGTGAGTAAACTGGTTTCATGAGTTCTGTGAGCCCCTCTAGCAAATTAACCAACCCTAAAGAGAAGGTCGTGGGAACCTCTGATTTATAGCCAGTCGGTCAGAACCCCAGGTGAGGGACTGGCTTCTGAAATGGGGGTGGTCTTGTGGGACTGAGCCCTTAACCAGGGGAATCTGATGCTATCTCCAGGCAGATAGTGTTGGAATTGGGCTAAATTTGTGGGATACCCGGTCAGTGTCCATGGAGAATTGAACTAATTACTTGTGATATGGAAAAACACACACATTGGAATTGGGGTCAGAATTGGATCAAGGTAACATCACCAGTGACAGGCCATATTGGTACTGATATTTCTTCTATCGAGACCTACAAAATAGAGGCTGCCCAGTGACCTGGCCCAGGTCACAAATCTGAACCTACCTCAAGGGCACCTGGGTGGCTCAGTCAGTTAAATACCTTCCTTCAGCTCAGGTCATGATCCCAGGGTCCAGGGGCTCTAGCCCTGCTTCGGGTTCCCTGCTCAGCGAGCATGGCGTCTGCTTCTCTCTCTCCCTCTGCTCCTCACCGCTGCTTGTGTTCTCTCTTTCTCTCAAATCGATCGATCGATCGATCGATCTATCTATCTAAATCTACCTCAGCCTGCACTTACAGGAAACTTAACATACACCAATGACAACGTAACACACATTCAGCGGTACTAACTCCCCTACCCTAGAAAACAGAACCTGCTGCCTTACAAGGAAATCCTCCTAGCAGCCAGTCCTGCCATTTCTGGGTTGTTGCTTTTGGGTCTCTACGAAATTCGTTCTTGCCCCAAATCCCTCCAGAAGAGTGTTCAACTGCTTTGAAGGGCTGTAGTCCCTCCATCCAGGAAATTTTTTCTTCCGAATAAAGGACATCAAACTCACTACCAAACTGTTTGCGTTTTGGGGGCGCCTGGCTGGCTCAGTCAGGAAAGCATGTGACTCTTGATCTTGGGGTCATGAGTTCGAGCCCCATGTTGGGCACAGAGTTTACTTAATTAATTAGTGTTTGCTTTGTCATTGGGCAGTGTCCTATGCACCCTGATAGGAGGTAGTGAAGGACACCTAACCCCTGGTTTTCTTTCCCAAATTCCATAACCCCAATCTAATCATGAGAAAAACATCAGACAAACCGGAATTAAAGGACAGTGTACAAAATGCCCGACCAGGACTCTTCAAAAGCATCAAGGTCGTGAAAAACAAGGATAGACAGAAACTATCGCAAGATCGGAGGAGAGTAAGGAGACAAGATGACTAAATACTTCATAGGATATTAATGGGAAATTTGCTGAAATTTTCATGCAGCCTACAGTTTAGTAAAACTCTAGATATCACCAGTCCCTGGCAAAGCAGAGTCAGATAAATAGCAGGGAAAAAGAAATCTCCAGGGCCAAAAGGACTGTGGCCCAGCCATGGCCTGGCTCAAGGCTCCTTTGCAAGTGGGCTGAATACCTCCAGGGAGGACCTTGAACAAGGGATAGAAAGGTAGTCGGAGGGACTGCTTGCAAAGATGGCCACAACTGGGGCGCCTGGGTGGCTCAGTGGGTTAAACCTCTGTCTTCAGCTCAGGTCATGGTCTCAGGGTCCTGGGATCGAGCCCTGCCTCAGGCTCTCTGCTCAGCAGGGAGCCTGCTTTCCCCTCTCTCTCTGCCTGCCTCTTTGCCTACTTATGATCTTTCTCTCTCTGTCAAATTAATAAATAAAGTTTTGAAAAAAAAAAAAAAAAGATGGCCACAACTATTTCTCCCACCCCTGGAAAAACCCAAAGCAACAGGATTGTGCTACTCTTCCCAACAACGGGGGTGGTGGGGATCCAATATTCTCCATCTCCTGAAGCCAGGCTGGCAAGGCAATGGGCTTCGAGCAATAGAATATGGTGGAAATGGTATCATGACTTCCCAGCTGTGGCCTCAAGAGACCATGCCCCTTCCACTCTTGCATTCTTTCATCATTGAAAAAAAAATGCTCAATTTTTAAGTAGAAGTTAATGAAAACAGGAATGTCCTTTTTTTCCTCCACTTTGAATTTTCTCTAAGGACCCGGATTGAGAACTCCTGGCTGACAGCTCTGGTCCAGAAATGTTGCGTTTTCATAAGGACCACTGACCCCCCGAAAAGGTAAGACACCAGTGCTGGGATCCCTGGCACTCTGACTCCCTGGGGCTTCCTTCCTCCCAGAGCACCCGAGTGAGCAGCGCGGGAGCTCCAGGCTCCCTAACACGCCAGGCACTGAGCCAAACACTTTACACGCAACACTGAGTTGCTCCCCCAGCTCAGAGGTGAGGACTAGCACCCCCATTTTCCAAGGGGAAACTGAGGCTCGGGATGCTTAAGTAATTTGCCCAAGGTCCCAGAGTTTGGCAACCAGAACTTTACTCCTTCCACCCCACCGCACCACAAGGGAGCCAGGGCCGAGCGGGAGGTGGGAGGAGGCCCCAGCCTCTCTCATGAAATCTTCTAACCACCCTCTGAGGGTGTTACATTGATTTCTCCTGTGTGAATACGGAGGCTGCCCAGAGGGACAGGGACTGTCCCAACATAATAGAGTGGTCGTGGGTCAGGGGCACTAGAAGAAAGAGGCTTTTAATGCTGACAGGAAAGGCACCCGAGCACTTCTCCCAGCCCCAGTGGAAACAGCAAGCACCCCAACTTCACAGGCTGAGTTCTTCTGGGGCTTCTGGAGGGTCCTCAGAAGGCAGAGCCATGTGGGGAGAAGGAGGGGGAAGAGATGGGGGTAGATGGCAGAGGTGGGGGCAGATCAGTGCAGCAGGGCAGGGGAACAGAGGGGGCAGGGACTCGGAGAGCAAGGGGGCTCCCCACTGAGGCCTTACCTTGTTCTCACAGTGGATCTTGGCCCCAGAGTTGACCAGGATCTGGAGGATCTGTAAGTGGCCAAACCAGGCAGACAGGAGAAGCGCATTCATCCCAAACTGGGGGAGAGGACATGGGGGAGGAGTCGAGGTGAATGTGAGGTGTGGCCGTGCCACCTGGGCCCACGTCTGCACTGAAAATCATACAACCGTAAGGGACCATAAGTGCCACCCAACCTAGAGAGCCGCTAAGCTTAATGAACGTAAAAATCATGGCATTTTTTTTATTTTTTAAATTTTTGAAAAGATTGTATTTATTTATTTGAGAGAGAGAGAGAGAGAGTGCACGTGAGAAAGAGCTCAGGAGTGGTGGGGGGGGTGGAGGCAGAGGGAGAGGGAAGAGCAGATTCCCCACGGAGCAGGGAGCTGGACACAAGTTTTGTTCCCAGGACCCTGGGATCTTGACCGGAGCAGAAGGCAGACACGTAACCAACTGAGCCACCTGGGTGTCCCTGCGTGGCTTTTTTTTTTTTTTTTTTTTTTTAAATAGAGGCTGAGACACCATTGCAAACTTTTGTTTTTGCTAAATAAAATTTTAAAATAGGGGTGCCTGGGTGGCTCAGCCGGTTAAGCATCCAACTCTTGATATCTGCTCAGGTCATGATCTCCATGGCCCCACATCAGGCTCTGCACTGGGTGTGGATCCTGCTTGGGCTTCTCTTGCTCCCTCTTCCTTAGCCCCTCCGCCACTCGTGCTGTCTCTGGATGGATGGATGGATAAATAAATAACAGCTACCATCTATTCTCCCCATCATTTAATAAAGAAGGAACATTTTAACATAAAAAATTGGGGAGAAACTAATCTCAGAGTATGCTCTTTGCAAATACAGCTTCACGAAAAACATACTACATTGTTCTGGTTTGCTGTGGCTGGTGAAGACTGGTGTTTGGGAACCACTGTTTGACTCTCCTACAGGACGGCGTCCAGGCGGATGGCTTGTGCCTGCAGACAGGCACTGCCCTGACAACCACTGCTCATGGTAAGAAAGTCCCTCCTTACTCTGCACTGAAATCTGCATCCTTGCACCTTCCAGCCCACAGGCCCTTGGCGGCCACGGAGAGCATGTCTGGGCCCTTTTCCGAAGGTGGCCTGGCGCCTGTTTGCAGGATGCCCTTCCTCAACACCTGTGAAGTGCTCCGGGATCTTGAGAGCCCCGCACTGACCTCTGCCCTCATGGGTTCTGCCTGTGACCCCGCACGGGGGAGAATTACAGCGACTGTGGGCTGGCTGGCTGAGGGAGAGCATGAGTACTCACATGGCAGAATCCACAGGGAGAAGCCCACAGGAGCCTGGGAATGAAAAGGGTCAATGCTCAGGGCTGGCTGGGGGAGGAGAGTCATGGGAGCCAGAGCCTCCTGCCAGTGGGAACCCCAGGGATATTTCCGTGTCCTAGTTCCAAGAACTGTCCAGGACAGAGCCCTGTGGCATATCCCTTGAGACCTTCCCCCCGACAGCAGGATCTCCCTCTCTTGTCACCCCCCACCATTCTGTTATCTAAAGTAGGCATGCCCATCAGCTTTCTTAGTTTTCTCTCTTTTTTTTTTAAAGATTTTATTTATTTATTTGACACAGAGAGAGAGAAATCACAAGTAGCTAGAGAGGCAGGCAGAGAGAGAGGGGGAAGCAGGCTCTCCGATGCGCAGAGAGCCCGATGTGGGACTCGATCCCAGGACCCTGAGATCATGACCTGAGCTGAAGGCAGAGGCTTAACCCACTGAGCCACCCAGGTGCCCTCTTAGTTTTCAAAATATCCTTATTCCTGAGCCTGAGCGGCTCAGTGGGTTAAGTGTCTGCCTTCGGCTCAGGTCTTGATCCGAGGGCCCTGGTATAAAGTCCCTCATCAGGCTCCTTGCTATGCAGGGAGTCTGCTTCTCCCTTTCACTCTCTCTCTGACAAATAAATAAGTAAAATCTTTCTTATTTATATGTAATATATATATTACTATTTGCAAAGGAAACAGAAGATTTATAAAAGCACTGTTTCTTTTTTTTTTTTAAAGATTTTATTTAATTATTTGAGAGAGAGAGACAGTGAGAGAGAGCATGAGAGGGGAGAAGGTCAGAGGGAGAAGCAGACTCCCTGTGGACCTGGGAGCCTGATGCAGGACTTGATCCCTGGACGCCGGGATTATGACCTGAGCCAAAGGGAGTGGCTCAACTAACTGAGCCAACCAGGTGGCTGTCTCTTCCCGTCTCTCTCATATCTTTTTTCCTCACCGATTCTTTCAAGGAAGAAATAACAGAGCACAGCAGTGATCATGGAGGGACTTTGTGGACAAAGGCCTGTTGCATGAGATTCTAGTATTTTTTCAGGAAGCTCAGGCTAAGGATCCCAGACATTTTTATTCTAGAGTCACCTCTAAATGAGGCCTAAGCAAATGCAGAGAGATGGGGCGGAAGTGGGAAGGTAGATGTTGCTGCCTCACCCAGAGCCCCAGCTGGTCATCAAGCTTTCCCTCATGCTGGGGCCTGGGAGCAGTGAGAGGCCAAGGCAAAGAACAGTATTTCTGGGAAAGGTATATCTCTGCAGGGAAGTTTGTAATTCCTTAAAAATTTTTTGATTCAGACTCTTAAATATAACCCTGTCGAATGTCATTGTCAGGGGCGCCTGAGTGGCCCAGTGGGTTAAAGCCTCTGCCTTCAGCTCCGGTCGTGGTCCCAGGGTCCTGGGATCGAGCCCCATATCCAGCTCTCTGCTGAGCAGGGAGCCTGCTTCCCTTCCTCTCTCTCTGCCTGCCTCTCTGCCTGCTTGTGATCTCTGTCTGTCAAATGGATAAATAAAATCTTTAAAAAAAAATTTTTTTTTTTAAATGTCATTGTCAGGGGGGCGCCTGGGTGGCTCAGTGGGTTAAGCCACTGCCTTCGGCTCGGGTCATGGTCTCGGGGTCTTGGGATCGAGCCCCGTATCGGGCTCTCTGCTCCACAGGGAGCCTGCTTCCCCCTCTCTCTCTGCCTGCTGCTCTGCCTACTTGTGATCTCTCTCTCTGTGTGTGTCAAATAAATGAATAAAATATTAAAAAAAAAAAAAACAAAAAAAACAAAAAAAAATGTCATTGTCAGACCCAGTCCTTTCCCTAAACCTATAGAGATGATTCTGTAGACCCTGTGAGTGCTCCCTCTCAGCACGGTGTTGCCTGCCAATTTGTTAAGTAAGACTGTTAGTCTTCTATTTTTTTTTTTTTTAAGATTTATTTATTTATTTGAGAGAGAGAGAGTTCACAGGCAGAAAGGGCAGGGGGACAAAGAAGCTTAAGCAGACCCCCATGTGGAGCACAGCCTGCCACAGGGCCCAGCTCAGGGCCGACTCACCAGCCTGAGATCAGACCTGAGCCGAAACCAAGAGCTGGTTGCTTAACCCACTGTGCCACTTAGAGGAGCCCCAGACTGTTCGTCCTCATCCAGGTCGCTGGTTAAAGCCTTAGCCAGGGCACAGCCTTGTGGCATATCGTGAGAGTCCCCTCTCCTGATGGCTCTATTAATAAGTCCTTTATCGGGGCACCTGGGTGGCTCAGTGGGCTAAAGCCTCTGCCTTCGGCTCAGGTCATGATCCCAGGGTCCTGGGATCGAGCCCCGCATCAGGATTTCTGCTCAGCAGGGAGCCTGCTTCCTTCTCTCTCTCTGCCTGCCTCTCTGACTACTTGTGATCTCTGTCTTTCAAATAAATAAATAAATAAAATATTTAAAAAAAAAAAAAGTCCTTTATCAATCCATCCAATTATCTGTTCTACAGCCCGCCTCTCTCCCTGTTCACATGGCATCATGAGGGACTGAAAAGGCTCCCTGAGAACTACAAAACTCTAAAAAATGGAGAGCTCTTTATGGCTGTACAGGGGGAAAATGGTGCTGTGTCACTGGCCCCTGAAGATTCCCTGTCCACCCTGCACCCTGTGTTTGCGGATCAGCGCACCCTCCACCATGACCGTGGACTCAGACCCAGAGGGAGCGCTGGTGCTCCTCCCAGACCTGGGACACACAGACAGACAGACAGACACGCACACAGGCACAGGGGCGCCTGCATGAGGGTCCCATACCGCATCCTCATTGTCCACAGCAGCCTTGTGCTCCAGGAGCAGCCGCACAGCTGGCTCGTGCCCGGCACCCGCAGCCCAGTGCAGGGCCACCCTGCCTACCTGCCGGGAGGGACAGGAGAGCTTGAGGCACCAGCTGCCTGCCTGGCCAGTCCCCCACCCCACCCTTCCCCCCCCCCGCCATCTCTCCAGCTGCAGGACAGCTGGTCTGGTGGTGACACTCAGGCCCCCTCCTCCTCCTCCACATGGCAGCAGCTGAAATGAACGTAGTCAGACACCATGACTACACCCATCCATCCCCCACCAAAACTTCAGAGCTTCCCACAGCTCTTGGGACAAACTCCTAACGCTGGTCCCTGCCCACCACGACTCAGAAATGCCAGACTACTCCCCATTGCCCTGTCTTTGCTCCTGCTGGACAGCCACCTGTCAGAGGATTACCGTCCTAGTCCTTGAGGGCCCCCGACTGCCTGGGTTCTGTCCCCTCCTTCCTTCAGAATGGGCCGAAGGGGCCTGATCCTGCACCTCGTGGTGAGACCACCCTGGTTTTTGGCCTCAGCATATCTGAGCAAGACTGGGGGAATCCTGCCTCCGCCAGCCCACGAACCATAGTTTTTAGCTTATCAGGGGACAACAAAAGAAAACACTAATTTTCTGTGTGGTCTTTCTTCCTCAGAGTTTCTGCCCCTACTGTCCCCTCTGCCTGTCTTCACCTGGCAAAAATACCACTTCCTCGAGAAGCCTTGCCTGACTGCTGCAGGGAGGACGGGCTCCCTCTGACCTCCACATGTTCTCAGCTTATCACAGTGGGAATGAACTGTTTGTGAGACTCTGTTCACTGTGTCTTCTCCCCAACCAGACAGTCAGCTCCAAGAGCGCAGGAACCACATCTACTGTGGGCTCTGCTTGGTCCCCAGCACCTAGCACAGTGTCGACCCAGGGGAAGCCCTTTAGCATAACTGACTGACCGAATGAATGAATGAATGAATGGACGGATGAATGAATGGATCTGGCCTTAGTATCCTGTCATCCTACAAGTCCCTGTTTCCGTGCAAGTGTTTGTCCAGTGGAGACTGGGGCTCCAGTTATGAATAAAACGCTGTTTTGTATAGTGACTTGCTAAGGTGACTTGCTATACTCATCTGTGCCTGTCCTGATCTACAAATAGGACCGACATTTCCTGCCTCCCCCACCTCTCCAGGGCTGAGGGAGGACCACCAGGAAACAGGTGGCGGAGTGCTCTGAAAACCAAACCGCACCAGATGCACCTGAGAATTCCTGTTACTATTACTAAACCCTGGACAGGCTCTGAAGACCCAGGTCACACACCTGTCATGTCACCCCATACAGAGCAGCCTCTGCTACAGTCAGGAATCCTGCATCCAACCCCTTCAGCCTCCACTGACCTCCCACCCAGGCCAGCATCTCCTCTAAGACAAGCCTGGCACCCAGAAGCCCAAGGAAGAGAGAAGCTACCCTGCAGGGCATCCAGGCCTCTCACCAGTGTCTCCCCACCACCCCACCCGGCACCCTGCCCCCGTCAGAAGGAATGGCTTTTCTCCCTGCCTCCTCCTCCAGTAGGAGGACCACCCCTTGCGCTCCTGCCCTGCGGCCTGATCCATGGGCTAGGTCTCCCTACCTGGTCTTTGAGCCCCTGGGGATCTCCTAGGCCCACAACAGTTTTACACACTCAGTGGGTGCTCAGAAAACTGAACTAAATTGCTTCCTCACACATGCTCAGCCTCTCTTGGTCTGGCCTCTCATAGTCTTGGACTCCTGGACTTCTAACCACGGACACCACTCCATCTTTGTTCCTCCAGGCTTCTGCCCCTCTCTGTCCATCTGTCTGTCCATCTGACTCCTGGCCTTCAACCTGCTGCCCTCCTGACTCTAATCCTTGTTCCTTGGGTGTGCCTTTCAGATGGGTGACAGGAGTTAAGAGTATGAGATCTCAAATTGCCCAAGCCCAGCTGGGAAGCCTAACCCCGACCTCAGGTAAGACCGCTAAGACCTTGAGACAATGTGGACAATCTGAGCCTCCCCCAAGTTAAAACATGCAAACGCTTCTGCCTTGGGCTCCATGAACTGTTCCTTCCATGAGGGATTGTCACTGGGATCATTGTGGCAGGCACTTTCCCTGTCCAAGCCTCCCGATTGGGAAGAGCCCCTTTACGAACGTGGTTTCTGGCCCTGACGTTGACTCTCCTCTCCATCAGTTCCTTCATCCTCCTGATGTTGTTCCGCCGGGCGGCTTCATGGAGCTGCCTCTCCACAGGAAGCACTAAGGGCAGAAAAGGGGACGCGGGATGAGGGACAGGGTCCTCACAAGGCGTGAGAAGGAGGGGTGAACAGCTCCTCCCTGCCTGGAATGTTTCCCAGGCAGGGGTTCTTCCAGCTCGAACTCGGACTCAAGGTGGAGATGCTGCTCCTCCCTTCGGATGTTAGGGACTTCCCCAGACAAGCTGCTTTTCTTCACTAATTCACCCCAAGTCCACACAACCAGGACTTAGCAAAACCCTAAAGATGAGACAGCAAGACTGTCCACGGGAGCCAGGTGTGTGCCTGTCACGGCCCTCAGAGGTCCCCCATCATCCAGTTTTCATGACCCCAAGAGCAGCTCTTAAGGAAGGGATGGAATTCATTCCCACTGGAGTTGATAACTACTTTTCTCTGGCTGTGTCCAGTGAAGAAGGCAGCCAGGAGGTACTGAGCCACCTACTTCATCAGGCTCAGGCAAGGCCAGAGGCATGCTCACCTGGCTTCTTTGTCCTTGTCCCTCCATCTCCTCTCCCTTCATCCCCAATCCTGACCAGCCATCACCTCCCACACACAGCTCTGTGGCCCACCCTGATTTGCCTCTCTCAGGGCTCCCCTTGCCTCAACATTGCATCATTACCTCAAACTATAGAGAGCTCTGAGGTCTGCCAGGGGCAGTGGTGGGTTCAGAGGGTGGTGGCCAGGCCAGGAGGACCCAGGCCTGGTGACATCCTGGGCTCATCTCACCAGACCCCCACACTGCCATCATCCTGACTGCTCTTGGCTTGTGAGCATGTCTGGTGTCCTTGGCTGGACCACAAACTCCTTGGTGACCTTGGCCACATCTGACCTTTGCTGACCCACCTACAGCTCACAGCAGGGAGGGATCCATAAAACTCTCTTTCCATGAGTGACACATAGCAGACTAATAGATACCTGACCCTCCTTCAGAAAGGTTTAGACACACTAGCACAAGGCACAAATATTTGCTGGACCTTTGCATGGTCATTACAGGACAGATAATCTATGGTCTGATTGCTGCCAAACCCACATCCTGTGTGTCTGGTCCAATGTGAATGTCCAGATCCAGCCCCTTTGTATATCTAAGGAGAGGTGTCCAGTGTTTGGGCAGGGAAGGCTAGAATGAGCTCAGGTGACAGACAGGCCTGCCATCCATTTTCCAGATATGCTTTCCAGATATGGGAGAGGGTCTTGGGTTTTTCGGGGCCTTACAGATACAACCTCAGGTCTTCGGGAGCTGCTGGCCCAGGGCAATCACATGGCCCTAGGTTCAACTCTGGCGAGTCACTTCCAGGTCTCCAGGCCTTGTGATTTAATTATCCTGTGGCTCAGTTCCCTCATCTGCAAAATGGGGAACGTGAGCTGCCCTGTAGGGTTATAGTAATGACTAGATATAAGATATGAAAAGCCCCTACCATGATATCTAGCAAATAGTGCCAACATCATCATCTCTATGAATCCTGTAAGGTAAAGGGTCAGAGAATACATTCTGGTGTCCCTCCAGCTGGGGCTTCCTTCAATTCAGGGTCCAAGAAATCCCAACCAAGGAAAGCACCCTCCCAAGCCACCTCCCTGCATTCTTTTTCTCCATAGCACCCCTTACCACAGACATATGCTATACTTACATACTTACTAGGTTCACTGTCTTCCCCCCACCCCGTTATAAGCCATGACAGGGGAGATTTTCGTCTGATTTGTTAACTGCTGTATCCCCAAATTTGGGCCCTGGCACACATCTGTTGAATGAATGAATGAATGAATGACATACAAATCATTAAATCTCTTCAGGGGCCTTTCAACTATAAGATGCTGTCCCAGTTAAGACTCATTAGTTCCCCTGGAAAATCAAACCACAAGCTCAGGTAAATGGTGGGAAGGAGGCACTGAGGGGGAGGCAGCTTCAGGTCAATATTTCAGGGGAGGGAGAAAACACTACCTTCTAAATGCGGTCTCCATTGCTAGCTCCGCCCTTTCTCACCTCTAAAGAGGGTGCCTTTCCTATAGGGGAGGAGAGGGCTCTACTGGAAGAACCCCTCTCAGATCTCAAATACCTTCAGGAAGCGCTAAGTCCTGAGCTTTTGTTTCCTTAACTCCTTGGCTGAACAACACCATGATCCAGGTTCGGGAAAAGAGCTCCACTTCAGGTGTGAGCTTAGAGAAGCGGGGATTCTGGTACCCACTGTGCCACTTTCTAGCAGCAGGATCCCAGGCTAGCCATGTACCCCTTGGAGGCCTCGGTTTCTTCAGCTGTAAAACTGCAGGAAGGTGAAGAAAATCATCTGTAGGGGCGCCTGGGTGGCTCAGTGGGTTGGGCCGCTGCCTTCGGCTCGGGTCATGATCTCAGGGTCCTGGGATCGGGTCCCGCATTGGGCTCTCTGCTCAGCCAAGAGCCTGCTTCTCTCTCTCTCTCTCTGTCTGCCTCTCTGCCTACTTGTGATCTCTGTCAAATAAATAAATAAAATATTGAAAAAAAAAAAAAGAAAATCATCTGTAGATATCCCTTCCAGCTCTGATTCCCTTTCTCTTAGCTGAAGCCTGGAAGTGGCCTGGTTTGTGTTGGCAAACGGGCACTAAGTGTGAGTGAGAGCAAGCAGACCCTGCAAGGCACCAATGAAACAGGCGTAATCTCATCCCTTCCATCCACCTCAACCCATGCATCCTCTTTCTGTCCACATCAAATACACACTGTGCTCTGGCCTTGGAGACCTTTCCCATGCTGCCTCCTCTGCCCAGAATTCCCTCCCACACATCCCAATACTCCATGGCTGCACATTCTTTAAGGGCCACTCAAGTCATCCTCTGACCCAGGAAGAACCCTGCACCCTTTGAAACAGCACCTCTATAGAGTCCCTCACCGACCCCCACCCATCCCAGGGAGGACACTAGCCCAGTCCTCCTCCCTCTCTCCCAGGGAGTGCAGCCAAAGCCTCTCAGGCCGGCTGATGCCCACAGGGATGCCGCTACCCGGCCTAGAGGCCCTGGCACTGAGCACACTCCGTGAGGAATGCTGTGCGGTGAGCTCATCCCACCTGCTGCACATCACAGCTCCTCTGGTTTTCAGTTTCCCCATGCGGTAGAGTCTTCATTCCCCTACCCAACCCCAGCATTCTGGGAGGGCAGGGGCCTTCAGCGTTTCTACCACTTAAAGGCTGTGTGACCTTGGGTAACTTATTTAACCATCCTGTGCCTCGGCTTTCTCTTCTGCAAAATGGCCATAACAATAGATCCAACCTGCAGGGCGTCTGTGAAGATCAAATAGCATCCCTGTCCTGGCTCGGCCTAGCACATAAATTAAGTACTCAATACAGGATCGCATGACCTTCTCATTCGCATAAACCTCTAGCTAATGTCTCCGCGGCGGCGGCAGCTCCCTGCTCCTCGGACCCGTGGCGCCGCCGAGTCCCGGACGCGCGGCCAGTGTCCCCCTGGCCCCGTGCGCGTTCCTCTGGACGCCACAAAGAAGCCCACGACCGAGGTGGCCGCGCGGACAGTGCCAATAGCGGGTTCCTGCACCCCCTCGGGCGTGCGGGACTCCTCTGGGCTCTGCCCGCGCCCGCCCCCAGACCCCACGGCGCGGCCGACTCACTGCAGTCGGTCTCCCACGCCAGGGGCTCCTCCATTCAGCCGTTCCGCAGCCCGGGCGCGCGCTTCTGCCCCGCCGCGTGTCCGCGTGGGCGCGGCGCCGCGAGCCGAGGGGTGGGGGCGCTGAGCAGGGGTCCGGGCGCGGGGGCTACCGGGAGCGCGGGGGTGCGCGCGGCAGCCGCCTCTCCAGAGCTTTCGGTCCTGCCTGGGCCCTGGAGCACGACGTGGGCGCAGCTGCTGCGGCCTCTTCCCACATCCCGAACCAGAATGCAGGTGCCTCCTCCGGCTCCCTCGACCTGCCCACGGCTCCGCGCCTTTCACACGGGAGGCCAGCGGAGCGGGGCCACTCCGGGCTCCGCAGGTCCTCGTGGGCGTGTCTGCGCCAGGAGCTGTCCCAGCCTCCTCGGCCATGGACTTTCGTGTAAGGCCTCCTGCAGGCCCCATCCTCGGCACTCAGGCGCCTGCTCAGCTGCCACCAGACACTGAAAGTCAGACTCCACAGACACCCCAACAAGTCTGTAAGCATATGAAGAGATGGGCAGATTTATTCACGATCAGAAAAATACAAGTTAAAATGACAATGCGGTATCACACCAATTAGACTGGCAAAATCAGAAAGCTAGATAATTCCAAACCTTGGCAGCAGCGAGAAGCTGTCACAGCCAGGTGGACTGATGGTGGGAGTGGCCTGGGGCAGCCATTCTGGAAAACAGTCCCGTAGTCATGAGGGAAACTGAACACGGCGAACTTTGACCCTAGAATGCAGCTTTTCCCTTCCAGTCTCGGAAAAGGACATGTAAAAGGACGTTCCTTGCTGCCTTGTTTCGTGGTGGCTGGAAGTTGGAGGTGACTTGAGCTTCTGCGCTGAGGGAGTGGGTGGGTAAAGTGTGGGACTATGCAGCTAGAGAAATGAGGAACCAGGATGCAGCTTGGGGATTGGGTGGGGGCTGGGGACGCAGGCCCTGAAAGAATTCACCAAGGCAGAACAAAATAGAGAGAACTTTATTGGATACATCGCAAGGACAATAAAGGGGAGAGGGCCACATGCGGTGGCAAAAGACTATAGTTATAGGGCGGAGTGAGGAAGTATGGGGACATACAGGAGTTTTCCCTTTTTTGGTAATTGCGCCTGGTTTTAAGTAGCACATTGATGCCTTAGGGCTAGTTGGAGGTGGGTCACTTAATGAGCCTGTCTGCATTCAGCCTTGTGGTCTTTTTTTTTTTTTTTTAAGATTTTATTTATTTATTTGTCAGAAAGAGAGAGAGAGCGAGCGAGCACAGGCAGACAGAGTGGCAGGTAGAGGGAGAAGCAGGCTCCCCACAGAACAAGGAGCCCGATGTGAGACTCGATCCCAGTACGCTGGGATCATGACCTGAGCCGAAGGCAGCTGCTTAAACAACTGAGCCACCCAGGCGTCCCCAGCCTTGTGGTCTTTGCGGGCCCTTTGGCCTTGCTCAAGCCTGTTACCTAAAAGCACCCTCTACAACCAGGTGTGTTCACGACACAGATTTAAACACCCAGTGCTGAGCTGAAAAAGTACAACCCAGTGAGACCTATAACACAATATCAATAAATGCATACACACAAGACAATAGGGATTGCAAAGACACAAACAGAAAGATACACATTAAACATATCAGAATGGGTTGCACTTCAGACCCCTGGGGGCTGTCCATGTCTTCTCTGCTTTGTCTTTTTGGCTTGAAGGCATTTATGGCCCTTTAGATTTAGGGATCCTGGAGTCCCAGACATCTCTACCCCAAGACAAGGAACTATTACTAGTTCTCTGGTAATAATTTTCAGTCATTATTGTAAGTTCAAAGAGTCTTCCTGGAGGAGGAAGTATTTGGGATGGCCTTTGAAAAAAATAACATAATGGTAATAGCCAACACTTAGTGAGCTTCAAGCTAAGCACTTTGTGTGAATTATCTCATTTTGTACCCCAAACCACCCTATGTGAAATGGGCATCACCATATTATGGAGACTGAACTGAAGCACAAGAAAGTAAATAATTCTCCCTACTCACATGGGTAAAGGGCAGAGCCAGGCTTCTCGTTCAAGGTGATCTGATTCAAGAGCCAGAACCTGAGCATCCGGCAGGCGGAAAGGACTCTGATGGAGTCAAAGCCACAGGCATCAGGCAGTTTCTCTCTCTAAGCCCTGGCCTCCCGGATGGATTCAGAGGTGCCAGGGAGTGGGTGGCTGGCACACCTGCCCACTTGCCATCAGCGATAGCCATAGCTCTGGGCTGGCAGAATGAAGTGGCTGCTGCTTTTTGCATCTCAACTAGGATGCTCCTATCTTGGGATACACAGTGAGAATGAAGGGCACAGGAAGCCATAGTCGGGACTTAATTTCACATGACGACTGGGAAAGGGTAGAAAAGTTGCATTTTTATTAAAACTACCATAGTTCAATGAACAAGGGAGTAAGATGCAAAATCTGATGGGCTGCTTTGGACAAGGCCCCAGAGCCTTAGGTGTTCATACCACTCTATCTTGGGGGGATATTTGGAGGGAGGTAGCTGGGGGAACCAAACCCTGGCTCTGCCTTTTTCCTGTCCCTGATGGTATGCAGAGCTCCCTTTCACCCTGCTTCTCCAGCCCTCAATCTCACACACACACCCCCCACCCCGACACACACACCCTTACTCACTCGGCTCGCTCACTCTGATGTTCCCCAGGTCATTCTCAAAGAAGACAGTTCCACACACACATGCTGCTTCCATCCCTTTAGCATTAGGGACTGTGGGGTTGGGGGACAGAAGAGGTAAATCAGAGACCATCACAGTCGACAGAGATGGAGAGAGAGCTTAAGAGCCTAGTGCTGGGGCTTGGGGTAGGGCATGTGAGGTGGTTACAGGACCTGTATGAGTGTGTGTGACAGAGGGACGTGATTGACCTTAACATCTACTAGAAACAATGAAGAAATATCAAAGTGATAGAAAACTTGGTTTGACTGTGGAAAAATAACGTCAATTACACTTATTTATGAGCTCTATTTAGCTTAGTAATGATGCACATCATTTCAAATGTCTTTTTTTTTTCAGTCCTCATGTAGCTGGGGCCCAAGGGTCAGAGGGCACCTGACTCCAGGGGTCCCAAGCAGACCAGATTCGTCCCCTGGCCACTGACAAAATCCAGAGGCAGAGAAATGACTGAGGATGAAACCAGAAAGGAATTAATTTCCGTGAGGCCAACACCCAGAAGCCACAGGCCAGCATCCCACAGACCATCTCTGAGTGCTGAGAATACTTGTAAGTTTAAGTAAGGAAAATGTGGGGCAAAAGTCAGTGGGTACATGCAGGTGGGTGGTAAAGGTCAGGTCAATCACTGTTGTCATGGAGTCTTGCAGGCATAGGGGCAGTCCTTATTGCTTGAGGGGGTGGTAGTTTTGGTTCCAGTCACAGGATGCTTTGCCGGCAGGGTCTTTTGCCTGAGTTAAGAGATAAGAAGAACCTAATCAACAAATCAATCAATCAAGAAGAGATTGAGTCAAACGAAGGTAGCTGAAGCCCTCTTTCCCTAGGGGAGGAAAAAACAATAAAATTAAACATGTTAAATTCCTTTCAGCAGAATGAAATTTTCCCTGACCTGCCTCAGGATCTTTGCACTTGCCATTTCCTTTTCCACAATTAGTTCTTTGTCATTTTTGGACCGGCTTAAGTGTGCATCTTCCAATGTTAGTTCTGAGCAGCCTTTGCCTCCCGAACAGTCACAATCTGTAACTCTGGTACACACAAGTAACACTGGGTCTCCCTATTCCTATTCAGAGTTCATTGCTCATCATTTCATACTCAAACGGAACACCAGACTAGCATGGAGTTCATCATATTCTTTGCTCTACGTTTATGTATATTTGAAATTTTCTACAGTAATTTTTTAAAAATTTTTATTTATTTTATTTGGCAGAGATCACAAGTAGGCAGAGAGAGAGAGAGGAGGAAGCAGGCTCCCTGCCGAGCAGAGAGCCTGATGCGGGGCTTGAGCCCAGGACCCTGGGATCATGACCTGAGCTGAAGGCAGAGGCTTAACCCACTGAGCCACCCAGGCACCCCTACAGTAATTTTTTTTTTACAAAATTCTTATCTCTTAGATAAGGCAGCTATGGTAAAATATTAATATATGGTACTATTCTTTCAACTTTTCTGTAGACTTGAAAATTTTCTAAGTAAAAATTAAGAGAAAAAAAATCGGGGCATCTGGGTGGCTCAGGAGGTTAAGCCTCTTCTGCTTTCGGCCTCAGGTCATGATCCCAGGGTCTTGGGATGGAATCCCACATTGGACTCCATGCTGGGCGGGGAGTCTGCGTCTCCCTCTTCCCTTCCCCCCTGCTTGTGATCTCTCTCTCTCTCTAATAGATACATAAAATTGTTTAAAAAAAAAGAGAGAGAGAGAGAGAAAATCATGTCTTTGTCTTGATTCTTTTGCCTCAGGGAGCTGCCTCACAACTCAGACCTTGGGCTCCATTCTGAGTAGCTTTTTGGAACTGAGAGAAATGTTATGGTCCCAGAGCACCAAATGGAGCAGTCCCCAAAACCAGTAAGGTCAGAGCTAGGAGGAAAATCTAACGGTATCTGGATTCCTTGCAAGGACCACTTGGAACTTCAAACCTACATGTTCAGGGCTTCCATCAATGAAGGGAGACATGTGCTTTGTCTGTCATTTTTACAGGAAGGAGGGTGGGACAAGGAAGTTACTCGCAAAAGAAAAGAAAGGGTTGTTGGAGGTAAGGAGAGGGCTCACGTGACAGATTACCTCATTGTTGCTGACCAGAAAATCCCTGACTGACTTAACAGAGACTATGTTTCTGGGGGAGGTTGAAACTGCACTTAGGTTAGGTATTCAGCTGCTGTTTGGTGACTTGGCTGAGCATAAGTGACACCATCTTGGGCCTATGGTTTTTTGTTTTTTTTTAAAGATTTATTTATTTATTTATTTATTTATTTGACAGACAGAGATCACAAGTAGGCAGAGAGGCAGGCAGAGAGAGGAAGGGAAGCAGGCTCCCCGCTGAGCAGAGAGCCTGATGCCGGT